GAACTTTGTCACTACAATCAAGTTGCGAGCTGGCGCGAGTTCATCGTTGTTTGCATTTCTGGCGACTTTTAGAGACTAGGAACAGAATAACTTGAAATTATCTCTACATGCAATAAACCCCCATTAGGAGCTCGGGAAAACGATTGATGCGCGTGTTCCTATGTATCAGGTCATTTGTTGTTCTCGGCGCTCCCTGCCAAGGATGTACGTCTTGGTTCGTACGCCAGGTTGCCCAACCCTGAATCATTTTCTCGAACCCCGCACTCTTTCGTCATTCCACATTCCTTCCGTCTTCACTCCGACATCTGAGCAATTTAGGCCATGGACAAAATTAGAAGTCATTTCAAACGAAAATCGCATAATGTCCTCGAAAGAAGCCGACAGTGGCACGATCCAGTTATCGAGATCTACGAAAACATTGCTTCGTCCAAGGCTCCGTGCTCTGTCCGGGCATACGATGTCGCCAATAGGCGATGGTATCAACTAGATGTTGATGTGGCAGTCAGTGACGACGCATGGTTGTCATCTGTTGTCCAAAAACATGTCAGGGCGTACCATCGCGGCCACCGACGGCAACCTCGCTGGAATACAATTCGAACAACGCTGAAAGGCAGCCCCGTTGCCTACCATACACAGGAAGAACAAAACGTTGCACTACCCATCACTGGAAGCCTTCGGTACGGCTCTGATCCTGAGGACCGTTTTCCTACCGTTCACTATGGCGACATCCATGACAAAAGATATCTAAGCAAAGGCACAGATGTCTGTCAATGGGACGGCCGCAAAGCTGTTTTCAAACGAATCGAATTCAGCGATGATATCAAGGCTTTTGAGAGGGCGATTCGCACTCGAGAGAAACTCTTAGCCCACTTGGATAGTCAAGTCGATGGCGAGAATATGTTTGGAGAGATGGAGAAGAGGTTCAATGTCGTCCCTATCCACGCTGTGGTCATACAAGACGCATCACCGGGGCCTTGGGAAGATGGGTCAGTCGCTGGCGTTCTCATGCCGTTCGCAGGACGCAGTCTAGACTCCCTTGCAAAGCAAGGAGATATCATCATGACCGAATCGCAGCTCTATGACTTAACGCGTGGAGTGAAAGAGCTTAATCGAATTGGGATCATGCATGGAGACATATGCGACTGGAACGTCACGATACAGTCACAGAAAATAACAGGAGGGACACCTCATCCTGAAGGTGGTAAGCTTTTATTGGTGGACATGGGTAACGTCGCTCCGGACTACCAGGGAGACGCACAGCTACTAGGTAAACTGTTTCACTGGTGTCTCCAGCATTCGGAGGCATTGGGGCGGACGTCGGATATCAAGCAGAGAGTCATTTCCGCAGCAAATATGTTAGAGGCGGGAGACTTAGACGCGGCTCTGGACGCACTGCAATATTCGGCAAAAGGCCGAGGAAACAGACAGGTAATCAGCTTTGCGCCATGAGGTGTGTCTGGCATGGTACGTCCTCATCAAGACAGCGCTGCAATTGTTCCACATGCAATCTCTGATGATGGCTCCGTATTTCAACCAGAATTCCTTTACTATGATTATCACTTCTGCCCTAATGCTTTCCTTCAGATCATTTATCAATTTCCTGAGGCGGTAAATCGAAACGTGTGGGCATGAACTTTCGCGTGTAAGACTAGATGCAGGTCATTTCATTGTCAGGATTCTATCCCCATGACGTTCAGTTCTCCCCAGTTAAGAGTATACCATTCCCTTGAGCTAAAGCTACGGCTAAGATTTTTGAATGCAGAGTGATTCGGTTTCCTCTCACCAGCCGAGAGGCTTCATCATATATCCATGTGAAGTATGTGATCAGCCGTCGCTGCTCGGAGGTGAACTTCCCCCGACTTGTTACCGTCGGGTCGGCAACAGACCCCTGCCTGGCATTGTGACCCCGCCACCCCTCACTTAACCAGGATCTCACGGACTCAGTTGATCGCATGGCAGCGTAAAGTGCGGGGTGACGAAACTTTTGGTCAAAGGGGCTTGATCATCTCACATGTGTGTCACACTCACAGCACCAGGCACGCTTTCAGAAAAGACCCGGCGTTACACGCAGCAACGTATCATGTACTATGCCTAAGCAATGATTCTGGGTCCTCGTCATGAGATTGTTTTCACTTGCCTTAACTTGCTTGCAGGCTTTACCTAGGAAGGACCGACCATTGGCAGCGTCGCCCGTCGCGTGATGACCAAGATGTGCTCGTTGAGACCTACAAGGATCGTGCATGAGCATATGCAGTCTCAGCATTCTTCCATCTATCCTTTCGATCCGATTAACGGGCCGGCCAACGGCCGTCGAAACGACTGAAGTCAAATTAAACGCACATTAGGACGATCGCCGGCCATGACTTCGCTGCAAAGTTATCATCACTCCGTCTTTGGCATTTCTCGACCCTTTCGAAAGTCAGGGGAATGACTTTCATTCCGTGAGGCTACACTTGTTTCAAACCGCCGTCTCAGACTCGAAATGTTGCCCTCAGTTGTGCCCAGACAGTTCTGTTCTTCGCCAATATTGCCTTAGTAACGGGGCGCTCACTATGGTCCTCAGTTCCGGCTACCCACGGCACTCGAAGTAGTGATATATACCTCCTCAAGAAGGCCTATCCTGTTGGTAATGGGAAACTTGGAGGTGAGAATGGACACAGTAATTCTGTAGCTGCACTGTCTGACAGCTGATTAGCAATACCTCATGGGCCTCCTGGTTTAGAGAAAGTAATTATCAATGTTGATTCTCTATGGTCCGGTGGGCCATTTGAATCCGAGGTAACTTTCCCCTGGCCACCTTTGCTTCGAATATCTGACATAATGGCACAGAGCTACTCAGGTGGCAACCCGCCATCTCCGAAACACGAAGCCTTACCGGGCTTGCGAGCCAACATCTTCGCAAATGGCACTGGACGTAAGTCATGAATATCTCGAATTGGGTCGAATCATGTGTAATTAATGGATAAGCTATTTAGACGTCGATCCTCTCCTGGGCGAAGGCGACCATTTCGGTGCATACCGAACACTGGGCAACTTCAGTGTTGCTGTCGAAGAAATGGGCGACTTTTCTGACTATCGCCGGACCCTCGACTTGACCACAGGTATACATACTACTGAATTTGACACCGGTGGAGCTACCTTTACTACTGTCGTCTACTGCAGCTTTCCAGCAAAGGTATGTGTCTACAGTATATCAACGACCGGCGAGACACTTCCCAAGGTGAGGTTCGGCTTTGAAAACATCCTCGTCGAGGCAAACTTATTCAACGTCACCTGTGGGGACCAGTACGTTAAAGGTGTTGGCGTGACCCAACTCGGATTCCCTCTGGGTATGAAGTACGAGTCAATAGCTCGTATCACAGGAAGACCAGGCTGTACAAAACCAGCCACAGAATGCTCTGATGACGGCTCGTTGTCTGTGACCGTACCAGATGGTCAGAAAACACTCACAATCGTCATTGGGGCAGAGACGAACTTTGATCAGTCCAAAGGTAATGCGGAAAGTGGCTATAGTTTCCGTGGCGTGGATCCTCACGAATATGTCGAACAAGTAACCAATAACGCTGCAACACAAGGTCGCCGGACACTTCTCGAAGGTCACCTTGAAGACTACCAGACTCTTCAAGGTGCTTTTACTTTTGATCTCCCCGATCCGAACAACTCGGCGCAAAAAGAGACCGCTGCACTCATCCAAGAGTATGATTCAGACGGCCCAGGAGATCCCTTTTTGGAAGCTCTCTTGTTCGACTACGCTCGACATCTTCTCATCACATCATCGCGAGAAGATTCCCTTCCGGCTAACCTGGCTGGGCGGTGGACGGAAGAACTTTGGCCGGCTTGGAGTGGTGATTACCATGCCAACATCAACCTCCAGATGAACTACTGGGCTGCTGACCAGACAGGGCTCAGTCGGACCCAAGACGCGCTTTGGAACTACATGGAGAAAAACTGGGTACCTCGTGGCTCTGAGACGGCACAGCTTCTTTACAACGCTAGTGGCTGGGTTGTGCACAACGAGATGAATATTTTCGGACATACAGCCATGAAAAACGCTGCCAGTTGGGCATTCTGTGAAGTGCCTTCAGTTCCGTCTGAAGCTGCAACTTGCTAATCAGTCGACAGATCCGGCCGCTCCCGCATGGATGATGCAGCACGTTTGGGACAATTTTGATTACACACAAGACATCGGTTGGTTCAGGGATCAAGGATATCCTCTGATTAAGGGGGTTGCGGAGTTTTGGCTCACTCAGCTGGTCGAAGACAAATTCAGCAACGATGGAACACTGGTCGTCAATCCGTGCAATAGCCCGGAGCATGGACCAACAACTTTTGGATGCACCCACTATCAGCAAGAGATTCATCGCGTGTTCGATACAGTCTTATCTGGCGCTGAATACGTTCGGGAAGAGGATACTGGCTTTCTTGAAGATGTCAAGTTGAGCCTCAAAAAGCTGGACAAAGGCCTTCATTTCACTAACTGGGGAGGCATCAAGGAATGGAAGCTTCCGGATTCTTTCGGTTTTGAAGAAAAGACTACGCATCGCCATCTTTCTCATTTGACAGGTTGGCATCCAGGATATTCGGTTTCATCTTATCTAGGCGGCTATACGAATGTCACGATTCAGTCAGGCGTCAGGAAGACGCTGGAGTCTCGTGGCAATGGCAACGGGCCCGATGCGAACGCTGCCTGGGGCAAGGTCTGGCGGTCTGCTTGCTGGGCGCGTTTGAATAACACAGACATGGCGCACTATCATCTCCGCTATGCGATTGATGTCAACTTTGCCGACAATGGTTTCAGCATGTACTCGGCGCGCAATGAACCATTCCAAATTGACGCCAATTTCGGGCTCGCGGGAGCGATACTGAGTATGCTGGTGGTCGACCTACCCCTGGCGCACGATGCTCCCTCTCAAGAAATCAGATCGGTGGTCCTTGGGCCTGCGATCCCCGCATCCTGGGCCGGTGGCAGTGTCAAAGGACTTCGTCTCCGAGGAGGTGGCGCAGTTGATTTTAGCTGGAACGACGATGGATTAGTCACTGCAGCGGCATTAACTGGATCCCGAACGACAGTGAGGCTCGTAAATGTCGAGGGTACAGTTTTGTAACCGAATTGATCGCGCGCGGCGCGTGAATTAATTGAAGACTACCGTCTTGGTTTTGTTGAGGAAAACGCGTCCCTCGGCCGTCCACTTGACCGCAGCGGCCAAGACCTGGCTCTCGACATTGGCTCCCTCCTCAACCAGCTCCTTTGGGTTCAGGCTATGATCGACCCTAGAGACACGCTGCTCGATGATGGGGCCTTCATCAAGGTCAGCCGTGACGAAATGAGCAGTAGCGCCAATGATCTTGACTCCGCGCTCATAGGCCTGGTGGTATGGTTTGGCGCCCTTGAAGGATGGCAAGAAGCTGTGGTGGATGTTGATGATCCGTCCGGACATAGCTTCGCACAGTCTCGGCGAGAGAACCTGCATGTAACGGGCGAGGACGACAAGCTCAATGTCGTGCTCCTTGATGAGGTCTAGGATCTTCTGCTCCTGCTCGGCCTTGGTGTCCTTGGTTACGGGCAGATGCTTGAATCCAATGCCGTAGTTGCCAGCCAGTTGCTGGAACTCCGGGTGGTTCGAAACAATAAGGGGCACCTCAATGTTCAGCTGGCCAGCCTTGGTACGGAAGAGTAGGTCGTTCAGGCAGTGGCCGATCTTGGACACCATGATCAAAACACGCAGCTTCTTCGCGACGGGTCGAATATCGTACTCCATCTTGAGATCGGCAGCAAGTGCGCCAAAAGGCTCATCCAGATGCGCCGTCGACTCCGATGGAGTGGGACCAAAATGAACACGCATGAAGAACTTCTCAGAGACCGGGTCGGAAAACTGCTGGAGATCCAGAATGTTGAGGTTCTGTTCGGCAAAGATGCCTGTCACCGCGTGGACGATGCCAGGCTTGTCCGGGCAGGACAGGGTCAGAATGTGATCGTTAGCCATGTTGAAAGGCGATGTCGAAACCGTGCAAAGGAACTGTCGTGGTTGTTGGTGTCGTTGTTAAGTTGAAGGTGAGTCAGTGTGACGATGATGTTCGTTGGTGGATGAAAATGTCAGGGCTTACTTAATCTCCGTGGCTGAAAGCATGTTTGGCGGGGGGGATTTGACCCACAGCGGCCGGGCTCGCGCGTTGGCATTGGCTCCGTTTTCAGTAACGTCGGAGATCCTTCGGCGTCGCGCTTTTGCTGGCCACGTACAGAGAGAGTCTAGCGCTTGCGGAATGCCCGGCTGTCATACTTCAGGACGTTGAGAAATAAACGCCCAAGGAAAAGAGCGTTCACGAAGGCGGAGGCTGCTCGAGGTTTAATGATGGCATGCAAGCAGCAATTCGATATTTAAATGAAGACATGTGGTGACAGCTCAGCTGTCCGGTAATCTAGGAAGAATCGCTATTGTCTGCGCAGGAAAAGGCCCCCAATGGCTGAAGTCCAACACCCCCGCATCATGAGGGCTGCCCAGATTGTACAGGTTGGTATCGTCGTCCTCACAGATGTCTACAGGGAGAGTGACTAAGGAACACTAGTATGGGAAACCATATCAGCTCACTGAGAGACCAACTCCAATTATACGAGATCACGAACTCCTGGTTCGGATCAAAGCAGCTGGTTTCTGCCACTCTGACCTTCAAGTATTGGACGGACAGTTCAAGTCACCTCTTGGTCTCATCCCATCTCACGAGCCAGCAGGATGCATTGTTCAAATTGGACATCGATGCCATCCTCGTTGGAAGCTTGGTCAGAGGGTCGGTGTCCTCAACTTCAAGAATGCCTGCGACCAATGCGCTGGTTGCAAGACAGCAAAGCAAGTACTGAATCACTTGGATCCGAGGTATTGCGACAACCGAGAGACTGCAGGATTCCAACACGATGGAGCGTTTGCGGAATACATGGTCGCCGACCCAGAAACAACCGTGTTACTCCCCGACAGTCTTTCTTTCGAGCAGGCGGCGCCACTAATGTGCGCGGGTGCCACTGTCTGGGGCTCGCTCGAAAGAGCAACCCAAGGCCTAGAACAAGGCAGTGTTGTGGCTGTCGTAGGCATCGGTGGCCTTGGGCATTTGGGTATCCAGTTCGCCAAGGGCCTCGGTTTTCGAACCATTGCCGTAGATAGCCGCCCAGCGGGCAGGCTATTGGCCAACGAAACATCGAACCCAGCTTTGCGTCCAGATCTTGTAATAGACTCGGGCAGTCCCGACGCCGACAGGCGGATCTTCGAGTTTACAGAAGGCCAGGGCGTTGCGGCAGCTATTGTCTGTACAGACTCATTGATTGCTAACGCCTGGGCCCTCAAGATCCTTCGCATGGGTGGCTCCCTGGGGATTCTGGGCCTTCCCGCAGAGCAGTGGAGGTTTGAGGCCGACTTGATCGTCTTCAAGGAGTTGACACTGAGAGGGACGTATGTCGCAAGCAGAGTCGCCACGGAAAGAATGATGGAGGTCGTTAGCCAATACGGCATCGAGTCTCATTTAGCTATGGCATCTTTTGATGATATCCCAGGCATCGTCGATGCATACAAAGATGCTGATTTCCGAGGAAGACTTGTAGTCAGGATATCGAAGTAGGGACGGAGAGTATGAACCTGATTGCCTCTGCACTTACCGCGTTCTAATTACTTTATCATCCTGATACGAGCTTACGATACTTCTGAAGAGCCTGCCCCATTACGTTGATGAAAGGCCATTGAGTGTTGCTTTTGAAAAAGTGCGCCCATATCATGTGGACGGCCAGTCCCAGGCTGCGCGGTCTCTTTCGATGGCTCCGTTGTACTCCTCAGCCACAAAGTCGACTGACATGCATGCTTCGTCGACGATGCACCAGACCCAATGTAGAATGCGATCCTCGCTGTCTGCATGATGTCAGCGAGACGGTTATGGTAAAAGGCCGTACACTTTACCTGTCAAAGGGGTCGCGGCTAGGGTCTCGGTCAACGAGAACAACCACTTGCTCAGTAGGACTGCACACTCTAAGCCTGAAAGCGAATGCCTGACACTCCAAAAAAAGGCCTGACTGCGTGCGACACGATCTACGCCGAGGCGGACCGGGATACTTAGCATATGTGTAGAATACAACAGAGCCGTGACAACTCCATCGCTACGCTCCACTGCAGGGGACTGAGCGAGGGCCCGCGCGATACGCCTGGGATCGCGAGTCTCGAGTAGGCGGTATGGCCCTAGGTGTAGGTAAATTCGAACGTATGCCAATCCGAGCAGAGAGCTGGAGGTGAATGGTATAGGTCCGTTCTCATTGTTGGGATCCAGCGTTGACTCCGGAGCCTGCTGCCAACCGGACGTCCACGAACGGAGTCCACTCCTGTTGAATCAGTCAATACTGCAACGCACTTGGTGCAAATGTCAAGCGGGTACTAACTCAAGCTTATCGACTTCTTCCGCCGGCAGCTGAGCCGAGTGATCCATAACGGGAAGAGACAAGTCTCTGACAATGTATATGCGCTGCAGAAGCCCGTGAAGGAGCACGTAATTGCCAAGTGGTGTTGGAATCGGATCCAGAATTCCCATGCCGTCGTCAGCCTTCTTCAACAGCAAGGACAACGCATGCTGAAAGAACAGCTGCTGCTTGGATATCTCGCTGTGAGCAGCCTGCCACTGCATTGCATTGGGTGCCTTCCATTCCTTGGTCGAGCACGGCAATCTGAGGTTGATTTCGTTGCTCCGCAGAACAGGATAGACGTTGTATGCAATACTGTGTATGTGAAGAAAAGAGAACGCGATCAGCTTGGTGCGTCGAACGGATTCCTGCCGTACCCAGGCCTCCCAAACTGCTTGGGATCCGTTGGTGCCGTCTGTCAAGGACGGATGGGTTTCCTCGCCGAGGCCGAGATCACGAAGAACCTGAGCAAGGAGTCCTTGCAAGGTGAATGCCTCTTGGAGAAGGGCGACCTTGGGTTCCCAAGTAGCATAGCCCATGAGAAGAACGAGAGCGCGTACCGTCTCAATGGGTTCCCAGGTTGCCCACTCATTGAAAGGGTCTCGTGCGACGTGCTCGGGTCGCGTGGCTCCTTTAAGCGGCGAGGGGTCATGGAGACCCAGGTAGGAGCGGCTCTTGGCACCAAATTTGCCAGCCTCGCGTCGTATCCTCTCTACGAGGATTGCTTGGCCAGCATGGAATAGCGACTCTGAATTGCGACGTTCGAAGCAGTACTGACTGCCCAAAGCTGCAATCCCGAGGATCAGTTCCAAAGCATGGTCCGATAGCCGCCACGTTGCGACATGGATGAAAGGCATATGGGAATGAAACCCCTCAAAGAAGGAGGTCACATATCGCGTCAATGCATGGCGTGATGGGAATTTGAAAGTAGGATCAAGAACATCGCGGAAAGCCTCTGTCGCAGCAATGAGGCGGGAACGCTGGTCGTCAGTGACCCTGAAGGGTTGAGAATCACCTTCATGGGAACGAGGGCCTAATATTCGTAAGCGTACGTCACTCGTGTATAAATCCAATCATGGCCTTACTGTATTCTGTAAGATCATGGTGCATTCGATTCTTTGCAGGGGCTGAGGGAAGCCAAGCATTGAACGGTGTACCGGGTCTCTGGCTCTGCGTGTAATTTGCATCATCTCTGTTGCGCAAGGCAGGATCTAGGACATCTTCTTTCTCTGGGCCCTGAAAGTAGGGGCTCCATTCTGCTGGAAGCCCTACCCCGTCCAGGAAATTTGCGAACTCACGGAACTGGGCATCGAACCCCGTACTTACGCCATCTATCGCACTGCTATCAAAGAAATGTGGCGGGAGAATATTCTGCTGAAATGGTTGTGCTACCATACTGTTGTTACCATGACCAAGTGAATATATCTCCGTCGGAGTTTGAGCCCGTTGTTGATGGGTTGGGTTTGACCATTGCGTAGGCTCCACTGTTGTCACAGTTGTAGTGACGGTGGCGTTGGTGGTAGCTTGGTGATCTACCGATGGAACAGAACAGGACGCCGAAGGCGTTGGTTTATCATCTGGGGGTGTGTCCTCGTGAGATGTGATTCTCTGATGGCGGGTTAGGAGATCCCGACGTGTAAACGCAGCTCCGCAATGGCAGATGAAAGGCTTCTCTTTGGTGTCTGGAATGCAGCACATTTGGTTAGCACATGGATATGAGGCAAGGAAGCGGACCCAAGCGTGCTGATAAACCCCGGTTCTCCTATGTTGTTTGCAAGGACTCGGCACTTACGAGTGCGGATATGACGTTCGAGATGCTCGGTGCGCTTGAAGGTTCCGGCGCAGTGCGGACATGCGCGTGCACCAGGTACGGATGTAGTCCGCCCCTGCGCTTATTTTGCGACGGCTTCTGATGCTGTTGCGCGTGGGTATGGGGCAGCATCTCCACGGGAGTCCACAGGAGGGCCTCCCCAGCAGTTTGGAGCAGGTGAAGTTCGCCGCGGCGATGTTGGAGGTGGAAGAGATGTTGGGGGTGGACATGCGGCGCGGGGTCTCGGGGCAGCTCTGGCTTTTGGGGTCGAACTCGGCTCTCAGTGGAGTCTTGCGCCAGAACCTCGTCAGCGCTGATCAGAGGCGCGCCATGAATCGTAAGCGTGCTTCGAGACTGGGGTTATCGAGTGCTGGCGACCTGGGCTACGGGAGTGAGTTGGGGTAAGATAAGTGCCAACGTAGATCCGAAGCTATCTACCCAGCCGAGACGATACCTCTCCACCACCACCACCTCGATCTATCTCAAAGATTGGCCTCTCACCCAGATAGATGCATCAAAAAAGGACCGCCATCCGCATCGTTCAAAAACCTGTGAACTATTGCCGTGCTCTTTCATCTATTTTTTTTCTTGTGACGGAGCCTCTGTGAGTCAACGTCGAGTTGGAATACGCCAACACACAACTGGCAATGCTCTTGACATTTCCTGGCGTGGCCCTGGTCACTGGAGCAGGAGGAACAGGTTTGTCAGCGTCATTGCACGTCATGTTGTGACGGTCATGGCGCGGTCTTGCTAACAGGAGATAATGTGCACAAGGAATTGGCGCAGCTGTGGCCAAAAGGTTCGCGCAGTCTGGCTGCACCAGGCTGGCCCTCACAGACATCAACGCCGAGTCACTCGCCAAGACACGCAGTGCGTTACGGGAATTTCGACCGGAAGCGCAGATATGTAGCATGGCGGGCGACATCTCGAATGATTCCTTTGTGTCGTCTTTCGCCAAGCACGTTTCAAAGACGTTCGGGCGTGTCGATTATGCCGTCTTTAGTGCGGGTGTGCTGGGAGCCTCGTTGCGATCTCACGAAACACCCGTAGCAGATTTTGACCGCATTACAAACATCAACTATAGAGGGACATGGCTGTCGTCGCGTGCCTTTCTCTCCATCATGCTAGAGCAAGAGACGCTCGCAGAACATCCGAGGCAGAGGGGCGCCATTGTGAACATTGCGAGTCAACTGGGCATTGTGGCTCGGCCCGCTGCTGCTGCGTATTGCGCGTCAAAGGCTGCAGTCATCAACATGACGAGATCCGATGCCATTGACTACTCCAAGGACGGCATCAGGATCAATTGCGTATGCCCAGGGGTGATTGAAACGCCTATGACAATCGGCTCGAAAGAGGTGGCTCAAAGGCTGAAGCCTGCCATCGATATCGCCCCTATGCAGCGAATGGGAACCCCGGAGGAAGTAGCCAATGCCGTGTTGTTCCTCTGCTCGACGCGGGCATCGTTTGTACAAGGGCATGCGCTCGTGGTTGACGGTGGCTATACTATCAATTAATCAAGTTATTAAAAAATATCTATGCTTGCCTAGGTAGGTAGGTATCAAGGAGTGAACGCATTACCGTCTTTGCGGAGGCAGCAGGGCATACAAAATGTCAGCCAGAGGTTCTGGACCAACGGTAAGCACTAGTATTCAACTGTGCACGGGCCACGCAACAGCGGGGCAACCATCTGGTCTCATTGCCCCGCCATCTGCTGCTGACGTCCCACTCTGATGAGGCACACAGTCCGTGCCTTTCTTGTTCCTCTGCTATCGAGACCAGGAAATCCGAATGGGCACGACTGATCATCGACACCACAGTTCCCGTACCCGGCATCGTCATATTCGTCACGATGCAGTCCGGAATATCAGGCAAGACTATTGTTACCTGGGTTGCATGCGCTCACATATCGCTGACTGCCTTCAAGCCTCGAAGGAGCTGGTCTCCCAGTTCAACACTCTGCTCTCGTCCGAGTCGTACTTTGGCCTCCTTGCCACCATTGAGGCAGAAGCCCTCAAACCTATTGACTTTCTTTCGCCAGTCTCCTCGACGGCATCCTTTTCAGATAACCTCGCGTCTCTACAACCCCATCTCAAGGAGACTGAGGCTCTCTACATCATCCTTCGCCGCCATGCGACCGCCCCCCACCTCATCGCCAATCACCTACGTTCCCGGATGCTGCCAAGGTCCGCCAGAAAAATGCTTTTCGCGTCTACCAGGCTGACACTGACTCGCGAGCTCGGCTCCGAGCACTTCCGCGAGACTATTTTTACAACCCACTGCTTTTGAAGCTGACGCCTTCCGGCTTCGACAAGCACGATGCCCATAACAAAATGGATGCGCCGTTGACCGAGGAAGAACAGAGCTTGGGCGAGGTGAAGCGCGCCGAACAGGAAGCGGGCAGAGGCACCGGGGCACGAGAGATCCATCTCAGCCAGAAGATGAAGCTTCCGATGCCGGATGACGCCATCGCCGCCATGCGAGCGGTCGGACAGCACAATGGCCGCGTCCTTACCATGCTGGTATGTCAATGCCTATCGTGCGACCTATAGACTAGGAAACAGCTAGAGCTAACCAAAATCTGCCTTGACAGAAAGTAAATCCTGACACCGAAAGCGTCGAGCTTGTACCTTCGACCGAGTCGCCGACCTCGATCGCCGAGCTGTCGCAAGCCATTTCGACAACCGAGCCCCGCTTCAGCATCTTCCGCTATACCCATACTCACAATGGGGCTGAAACAAGCCCTGTCCTCTTCTTTTACACGTGCCCTGCCAACTCCTCCTCGGCCAGACCTGGCCACAAGGCCATTAAAGACAGAATGCTCTGCCCGCTGATGAAGCGCGCAGTTCTCGCCATAGCGTCAAGTGAGGCTGGACTTGAGCTTGCCAAGAAGTACGAGGTCGAGGAGCCCACTGAGATCACAGAAGAGTCGGTTTTATCCGATCTACACCCCAGAGTTGAGGCCCGACAAGCATTCAGCCGCCCTAAGCGGCCTGGTCGGTGAGAACGCGAAAGAACCAAGCAATTACCTGTTTAGCCGTTCTGCTCGTAACAAATCAAAATTTCTACTGGCGATGTTTCTCTCGCTAAGATGCCCCTTGTGTCCTTGTCCTTCCAAAAATGACACGTTTCTACTCACGCTTCGTCCAGCAATGAAATCCATCAAAATCTTCCTGGCCCCTTTTACTTCATCGTGTTCATGGAGGGCAGCTCCCGATGCACTGTAGCTATGATCAAAACGAATTAGATTTGGTATCTTCGACATTGCGCCCGCAGCATACCATCCATGCAAGGCCGCAAATGCCCCTCCACATCTATCTGCGTCGCAATGGGATCAAAGCAAAATCAATCTCGTTGCCTCATCATCTATTCCTCGTACTTGCCTCCGGTGAACGCGAGATTGCTCTTCTCAAGTCTTTCCTTGATGTATTCGTACACGGTGAATGTGACAGCTTGGCCAGGGGCAACACGCATAATGCGCGGCGTGATGCCCTTGTAGAATGCG